GGGGAGAAGGAATCGCTGCCACCGGGCTCCAACTGGGTGGGTGGGAGGGGGAGGGAAATCGGGCGGCGGCGAAAGGCGCATCGCCGCTGCGGCGTTCGCACGCAGTGTTCACCTCCCGCCTCCCAGCCAATGGCATGGCAGCAGCCTTGAGCGGCAGCTGGCCGACCAATGGCTGACGGAGTGCATTTCGACTCCACTCAGTCTTACGCTGCGTCTTACTCAATTATATATAAGGGAGAGATTCCATTATCTTTTGGAGAAGTATATGGATTGGGGATGAAGGCTTTTAGCAAGTAGCACAATATTGCTATGGTTGGCAGAGGGTTGCAAATGTTATTTTCAGGGGATCACACCTGCAGATTCCCAACACAATGCAGCAGATTGTTTTTAGTTTGCTCCTCATGTGCTCCTTAAATTCAGGCCTATACTGAAACTGCATTATGAGTTGTGAATTATGAAGCAGATTGTGAACAAGCTAAAAAAGAAGTAACAATATTTTGTTGTGGGTCCCTAACTTGTAGGACTTATGGTTCAAAGCTTCCAGGAGTTACCTTGAGGTTTCCAAAGAGGAGGAAACTGAAAAAAAATCCTGCTGGCTTGTCGCAGAGGCTAGCAGCAGATCAAGTCAATCTAGGCTGGTACTCTCCCTCCTCTTTCTGCAAACCTGGATGGGGCCAGAACCACCCTTTGAAGTTAGTTCAGAAATTTCAACTGGTCCAAAAGGGTCTTGACCGACCAGTACCTGCCATGGTGACCACATCACACCTGTGTTTTGTCAGTTTTAGTTTTTGCCTTTTTCTTCCTGGGCCCAATTGAAAGGGCTATATTGACCTTTAAACCCTAAACAGCTTGGAACTAGAATACTTGAAGGACCACCTCCAATCATATCAATCTGCTTATGACTTTTGATGTAGTGATCTGTAAGCTTTTAATGAGGGAGTCTAGGTTGGTTGGCATATGGAATAGCACAGTAGCAGTGGCACCCTCGTTATGGAACTTGGTGCAAGATAAAGTTCATTACATGCATTTCTTCTAGTCTTTCAGAACTTATTGAAATCTGTTCTGGTCACAGAGTAAGTAGAGACCATTGATGGAATTTGTTAGACTACAGAGTTTGTTTTATTAACTCCTGCCCGACAGATGGTTCTAGGAAAAAAGCCCACAGAAAAAACCCCACGGTCATAAATGCTCACAGGAAAAAAGCCTCCGTGGAAAAAAGCCCACACGGAAAAATTCCCATGTGGAAAAAAGCCCATATACATAAAAGCCCACACAGAAAAAAGCCCACATGGAAAAATACCATGTAAAGTGCCTGTGGCGCCCCTGCTGCTCCCGGGCGGGACTCCCGCCTGTCGCCGTGACGTCAGGAGGCTGGTGTACCCGAGGACCTCACCAGGGTGCTGTGTGTACCAGCAAACTGAAGCAGGAAAAGCCTGTTTTAGAGGAGGGCTCGCCTCAGATGCGGGGCCTTCAGGAGGTTAAGTCACCACCTTAGCCCGCCCTGGGTCTGGTCCGTTTTGCTCGATTGCCTGCGTTCTCTCTGGGCTCTAGCAATCGCTTCGTTCAGTCAACCAGCCCAGCAAGTCCTCCCCGGCTTGCCTCTCTCTCGTTTTTATTTCCACCTCCGCGGCTGGCACACCCACCGCCCTGGCCCCTCCCCCGCCTAAAGGAGTTGATGCTGAAGCGCCCGCCCCCGCCCTGTCGTCCCCCGGCTTCCCAGTGGCTCGGCAGGGCGGCGCGCGCACGGCGGAGTTCTCCTGGGCCTTCAGCGCCGCGCAAGGGCGGTTCCTCGCTCGGCCGGTTCCCCCGTCGCGGGCGCAGCCGCCCGGTAGCTCCAGCTCCTGCTCCTGCGGTTCTCCGGCGCGAGGTTCTTCAGTGCCTCCTTCCCCTGCGGCGATCCCCGACCGGCGTTTCTCCTCTTCGTCGGGTGCCGGTAGGCTGTGGGGTTCGGGCTGGGGAAGCACGGTCGACCAGCTGTGCAGTTACCCCCGGGGGTTCCGGGAGGTTCCCGAGAAGGGCCCGGTGGCCACCGGAACAGTGCCATAGATATTTATAATTGTGGATAACCATTCATCTCCATTTATGAGAATGAACAGGTATTACCTGTATTCACACACAACAATTTGTGTTGTGATTTTATCAAGTATAATTAAATAATAATTTTGCTATGTTATTAGGCAACCTGCCTGTGCATTAGGCCGTGTTAGTTTGTGGCAAGCGAGGTTCCTCTGCAGTCCATCATATAGAGACCACACACCCATGTTCCCTCTAAGCTGTGGTAGTGTGAGCTAGCTAGCTCACAGGTTTTTAGCCTCCAGCTCACAGATTTTTTGTCTTCGCTCAGGAAGGATGACTGCAGAGCAAACTGATTTATGCAGTAGCCAAACTGCTTGCTCAAAGCTGTAATGCCAGTTGCTCACAATGTGGAATTTTTGCCCACAGGACCACACACCTTAGAGGGTGTATTGCCACACACTGGGCGGATTGCTGTGGAATAGGAAATTAAGAGCACTACAGGACATGGTTGCCACTTCTGTTGTTGTTATTTAATGCTGTCTTATGGTTTTGTTATCTTAAGCTAAGCTTCATAGATCTATGAGGTCTTAAATACTTCTACTATTTAGGAAAGAGAAAGAGGAGGAGGCAGTGGCAGTGGCAGCAGCTGAGGAGGCTGGGTAACATAATTAACAGAAGAAGAACCCTGCTGGAACACACCAGTCCCTGCAGTTGGGAGGAGCTGATCTTTTCATTTCACAATGGGACCAGAGATATAAAAGGAGTAGCCTGATGTGGCCCAGGCCTTTTATTATCCAGGCCCTGAAGAAAGCGAAACTTTTTACATAAGTAAGTTCTCCACACATTTTCCTCTCGCTAAGGGGCAAAAATTAGATGCTGGGAAGATTTTAATTTAGTAAAGCATGGTTTTTCAAATTCTGTTTCTCATTCATAGGGTTGTGGGAAAACTAGAAAACAGTATGCCTGCAAAAAGGTCTTCAAAGCAGCCAGGTATCTTTTTTGTACTTCTTTAGTTTTAATTCTGAGTGATCTCCAGCCCTTAACTGGAAAATGGCAACAATGGTTTCCCAGGAAGAAATGGCTTGTTTGGAGGGTGGAGTCTATGGCATTGTACCTGAGTTTCCAGTCCTCCTCAAATCCCTCCCTCTCCAGGCTCCACCCCCTCAAATCTCCAGGAATTTTCCAACCAGGAGTTGGCAACCCTATCTCCTTCCCAGCCAAACATCAACCTACCGTTATCTGCCCATGATCTCTACCATCTGGAGAACAGTTTTAATTCTGAGTGATCTCCAGCCCTCACCTGGAGATTGGCAGCAATGATTCCCGAGGAGAAAAGGTAGTCTTTCTCTACAGTGGAGACCAAAGCAGATTACATCATTCTCCTCTCCCCCTTTTGATCTGCACAACAATCCTGTGAGGCAGGTTAGGCTGAAAGTCTGTGACTGGTCCGAAATCACCTTCTCAACTTCTACAGCAAGAACCTGGGTCTACCAAACCCTGCTCTGAAGCACTAACTGCCACACCTAGGATAGCCAACCTAATGGTGGAACCTGAAGATCGTCAGGTATCACAACTGAACTCCAGACAACAGATCTCTCCCTCCCCCACCCGGAGAAAATAATTGCTTTGGAGGGTGGGCATTCTATTCAGCTGAGGCCTCTCCTCTCCCCACACTCTGGCTTCTGTAGACTCCATCACAAAATATCCAGGAATTTCCCAACCTGGAGCTGGCAACCCTAGTCCGACCTGGCCCCAATGAGTTCCTCACAAAGGCCTGGACAGGGTTTCCTTCCTTTGTCTTTTTATTGACAGAATCAAGTTTGGTTGCCTAGCAACAGCCATAAGTTAGTCCCACAGGAGCAGACCCAGCACCCATTCAATAGCACGTGAGTACTCTTGTCTTGAGTGGTGGTTGAATGGCCAATGGCCAATGGCTGATGAAATGCATAGCACAGCCAGTGGGAGAGCTGGCAATGGCCAACGGGTAAGCCAACGTGTAAGACAATTATATATATAGGATTATAGTTGATAAATCACAACACAAATTGTTGCATGTGAATACAGGTAATACCCGTTAATTCTCATAAATGGAGATGAATGGTTATCCACAATTATAAATATCTATGGCACTTTACATGGTATTTTTCCACGTGGGCTTTTTTCCACGTGGGCTTTTATGTATATGGGCTTTTTTCCATGCGGGCTTTTTTTCAGTAAGCATTTATGACCGTGGGGTTTTTTCTGTGGCCTTTTTTCTGGTTACCCCGACAGATGTGGGTGTACCCGGAAGCCAGCGTTGTCCGAAGCAGCATGACCCCAACTCACTCTCATGTCCTGTGGAATTTTCCTTTCTCTCTTAAAACACTGCCTTTATAACTTGCAGCCTAATGAAGGACTCAAGTGAACTCAAAATGCTCAAAAACTGTTTTGTGCCATCCTGGTAGTCCTAATTAAAGATATTACGGAGAGTGTGTTCTAATATTTGAATTTTACTTTGGGACTGACAGGACTGCTAACAACTTCTTTCCCAGAAGACCTTTAATGATTTTACCCCTTAGATTTTTTAAGTTTTATGTTATTTGTTTACATTTTTTTGGGGTCTTAATTTATTGCTGGTTTGTGCTATTTTAGTGGGAGATTCTGTTCTTATGAAGTTTCTGGTGTTTACTGTTTCAGGATTATTTTAAGCCCATTTTAATTTATTGCTGCTCTTGTTATGCTTGGCAGCTGTTCTGATCTTTTTTGGGAGGGAACTGCATGTCTTTGTTTTATTTGTGGAGTTCATTAATATTTTATATATTTATATTGGTCGTTGACCACGACTTACCTTCAGCCAAGGGTGGTTGAGAGACTCATAAACTGTTATTCTTTCCGCTGGGTCCAGCATAAGCATGCGCCGTACCAGATCTTTGGCACTTTCAGAGATATGGCTCCACTGCCTGGGATTCATCTAGGTGGTAAAAAATACTAGAATGTAATTGGTACAATTTCCTACAATGTACTGAAGAAACAGAATATAGCTAGAGCTACATTTTTAGCGCCTATTAAAGTTTAAGAAGTTATACACATTCTTCTTCAACTACTGCTAGGACTGGGAAATGCTAAAACTTCTACCAGTTCAGTTCTTGCTCTGGCCAATAAGCAACTAACCGACTTTTCTGACACCATCAGAAACCCCTTAATTGTCGAACACATAAGAACATAAGAGAAGCCAATGTTGGATAGGCCAATGGCCCATCCAGTCAAACACTCTGTCACACAGTGGCCAAAAATACCAGGTGCCATCAGGAGGTCCATCAGTGGGGCCAGGGCACTAGAAGCTCTCCCACTGTTGCCCCCTCCCAGCACCAAGAATACAGAGCATCACTTGCCCCAGAGTTCCTATAAATAATAAATAATAAATAAATTTGTGCCTAATAGCCACTGATGGATCTCTGCTCCATATGTTTATCTAATTCTCTCTTGAAACCATCCATGCTTGTAGCTGCCACCACCTCCTGTGGCAGTGAAATCCATGTGTTAATCACTCTTTGGGTGAAGAAGTACTTTCTTTTATCTGTTCTAACCCGACTGCTCAGCAATTTCATTTGAGTGCCCACGAGTTCTTGTATTGTGAGAAAGGGAGAAAAGTACCTCTTTCTCTACCTGCTCTATCCCATGCATAATCTTATAAACCTCGATCATGTCACTCCTCAGCCATAGTTTCTCCAAGCTAAAGAGCCCCAAGCGCTTTAACCTTTCTTCATAGGGAAAGTGTTCCAACCCTTTTATCATTCTAGTTGCCCTTTTCTGCACTATTTCCAATGCTATAATATCCTTTTTGAGGTGTGGTGACCAGAACTGTACACAGTATTCCAAATGAGAAGAAGAGATTGGCTTTATACCCCGCCCTTCACTACCCAAAGGTGTCTCAGAGCGGCTTACGAACTCTTTTCCTTCCCCTCCCCACAACAGACGGCCTGTGAGGGAGGTGGGGGTGAGAGAGCTCTTGACAGAAACTGCTCTTTTTCAAGAACAGCTCTTATCAGAACCACAGCTTGCCCAAGGTCATCCAGCCAGGTGCAAGTGGAGGAGTGGGGAATCAAACCCAGTTCTCCCAGATTAGAGTCTGCGCACTTAACCACTACACCAAATGAGGTTGCACCATCGATTTATACAGGGGCATTATGATACTGGCTGATCTGTTTGCAATTCCCTTCCTAATAATCCCCAGCACAGCATTGGCCTTTTTTATTGCAGTCCACACTGTAACACGTTTACAAGGTTAAACAAACATGTGAAATTTCATGGAATAAAAAGCAGGTGGTGGTGGAAGGGATTTGGACAGAAGAAAAATTTGGTGAGGAAAGGGTTGAGTACTTCCCCTGCCATTTCTTTTTTGTCTTAAACTATACTCTTCCAAAGGCAGCTTTTCTTTTTAAAAAAAGGGTGAGGGAGGAGTCAGGGGCCTGGAACCCATTAAAAAATCTCTTTTGATGAAAGGGATATCCATCAATGCTGCTCCTGGAGGGGATTGGTGAAAATTGCCCTCCCTTCAATGGAAATTTTCTGATGGATCCAACCCAGTGTTTCATAGCCAAACATTATGTGAAAATGTGTATAATATCTTAAGTTCCCAACCTCCAAGTGGGGCCTGAAGTCCTCCTGGAATTACAGCTGATTTCCAGACTTCAGAGATCAGTTCCCCTAGAAAAAGACAGGTTGCTTACCTGTAACTATTGTTCTTCAAGTGGTCTCTGTGCATCACACTGGTGAGTTAAGACTAGCAAGCTTGCCTACCTGGAGGCTGGTGTAGGTGCTGCTGGAAGAAAGCCATCTTGAAAGAGGGAAGATGTACAGTACAAGCGGCCATCAGTTTAAACAGTTTCATGACTAGTTGGGAAAGAACTAGTTGCAGGTCCAACTGTGAAACAGATTAGTGAATGGGGGGTAAAGTTGTTCTAATTCCCTAAGAAACTGCTGATGACAGGATGAGAGAAAACGGTTTCCAAGTTCCCTGATGGAACTTGGGCTTCTGGGAATAGGTGGATCTGGAAGAAGACTGAGAGTGTCTAGGCTTCCAAGAGTCCTCTGGAGACTGTCTGCTATATGGTCTCCTGTTGTTTCTGGTCCAGGTCTTGGATAGTGGGGACCGGTACGAGGGGGAGACACCCAAACTTTGAGACGCCTTGAGCCTCTTGTCCATCTCCTGTAGGACCGAGTCAGTGGTGACGTGAAAGAGACCCTGCCCATCAAATGGCAAGTCCTCAATAAGGGCTTGGGTGTCTGTCTGAAGAGACGTGATGCGAAGCCATGAGTGATGGCGGAGGGTCACGGTGGATGACATGGTCTTGAAGCTGGTATCCAGGCAGTGTTTTGCAGAATTGATGACCTGCTTAGCAAGTATCATGCCCTCTTTCTGAATCCTCTGAGCCTCATCACGATGTTGCGCTGGAAGGAGTGCCAAAAGGCAAGACATTTGTTCCAACAGGGAATATTCGTAGCAACCCATACAAGCGATATAATTTGCCGTCTTAACACCTAGAGTACCTGCAGAATAAAACCGTTTCCTAAATGCATCCATCTCCTTGCTCTCCTTGTCAGATGGTATAGAATGCATCTTTTTGCTCTTACTAGAGAGGGTGACCACCATGGAATTACGTTTCGGATGACAGCAGAGGAATTTTGCTCTTTGTCTCCTGGATCTTGTACATATGGTCCAATCTCCTGGTCGACACCAGGGTCGACACCGGTTTGTCCCAATGGGATTTAACTGTCTGTAGTAGGACCTGTGTCATGGGAAGGGCAACTGCTGTCAAAGTGTCCAGTTGTATAATATCAAAGACTGTGTCAGTGACCTGGGGCTGGGAAACAGCAATTCCCAATGAATGAGCCATTCTTTTGATTGGGTCCCCGTAAGAGTGGAGGTCCTCTGAGGGGGAGATGGGTAGATCTTCAGCAACTTGGTGACTAGGTGAAGGACTAGTAGGAGTAGCTGGTGCTCCAGAAGCGTCCTCATCCGAGTCACTTCCCAGAGAGTTAGATAACTCATCCTCTCCTGACAACGGATGTGGAAGGTGGATCTGTGATGGGGGTGCCGGTGGGGCAGCCGACCAAGGTCAAGATATCGTCAAGCTTGATGCAATCTGTTTGGAGTCTTTGTGGTTAAAGGGGCCCTTGGTACTGATGTGTCCTCTGGAGCCTTAGGAAGGATCTGTATTGGTGCAGTGTGATCCCATACTGGAGAGCAAGGACGATGGGAGACGCTCGAGCACTGGTCCCAATCCATCGGCTTACTTTGGTTCAGCCAGCTGAGGAATGAGAACAGTAGATCCAGTACTGAAAGCTTACTGAGGATGCCCTGGATGGAAGGTCCCTGCAGTAAGGAGTGACCTGAAACTTTGTTGTCAGTTGAAGTTGAGTAGCCCTACCAACGTCCTCAGCAGAATCTTCCAACTGGCCTTCAGAGAGGGAGTGATGGTTTGGTGAGGGCATCTGCATAAGGAAATATTTACTTTCGATGGCCTCCAAGAGTGGCTCAGGTTCAACAAGTGACGGTTTGAGACCAAGTGACATCTCTAGAGGGCCTTGTGGAAAATCCAAGATAGGCACAAGAGGCTGAACGGTGGACAGAGATAGCAGTAATGTTGCCAGCTGCTTCTGCCTCTTTTTTCTTTTTCTTTTCTGTAAGTGGAGATTTGCTCATTTACACAACAAGGGCAGTGGTGGACCGTGGGCCAGTATGGAGTCTGATACTAAGTTCGAAAGTTCTGATATTGACATGATGTTTGGAATCGATATTTGTCCTGGACAGGATTGTGATACTGGGGATCTGGCTCATTTTGAAGTGATGCTCAGGGCTGACTTCACTGTCCTGTCAACAATGCTTGCTCCCACAGGAGGAGCCGGAAGCTGGAGTGTCTGTGGTGCCTGGCTTGCCTTGTAAATTTTAAGCTGGTGTCTTTGTTACAGGCCTCTATGTCCATGTTACAGGCTCTCCAAGGCAGAGGAGGCCGCAGTCCTGACCATCCAATAACAGTAGTTTTCCCCCACCGTCCTGGCACTTTTTAAAACAAAAAGTTTTTTTCCCATGCACAAAGGAGAGAAGAAAAAGGGGCAAAGCCCCAGGGAAAAAGGTCTCCAATGGGTAAAAAATTCAGAAGTAGTAGCTCAGTATTTAGGAAAAGTTCCTGAAGATATGTGTGATGGGGGAAAAAGGAACTGATCAGGAGAGGCATGACTCCTCCTCTTTGGGCATGCATGGTTTATTTCAGTGCTTGAGGGGAAGGAATTTTTGCACATTTTTGTAGTTCTATATATTTCTGAGATCAGCTTTTGCACAGGCTCAAAACCCATCCATCTAACACACAGAGACCATGAAGAATTTAAATGGCAGCTTTGGAGGGTGGACTGTGTGATATCACATCCCTACTGAGCTGTTCCCTTTCTCAAACTCTGCCCTAACCTTGCTTTACCCCCAAATCTCCATGAACTTCTCACCTGGAGTTGGCAAACTTAGCAATATCCCAATACAAATGTATATAAAAGTAAACTATAACACATTGATTTTAAAATGTGTGCATAAATACAGAAGTGTGAGTAAGGAAAAAAATTCTAAGTAAGCCCTTATTCCATCCCACATCATGTCATGGTTTGCTGATGCTTGGGAATGATCTCCCCATTCACAGATATGGTAGAATCCTTGAGAAGAGAGGCTAATTCAGAGATAAAACAAACATGACCAATAACTGTTCTCTTTGGAGCAAGACCAGTGGACTGTTTCTGCTTTTCAGGATAATAAAGAGTACATTGAGTATCTCTAACTTCTCATCTGGATGGGACATTCCTTGAGCTGTGCAAACAGCATACCAAAGAAATTCAGATATTGAACCAAGACAGTAAAAAAAAAAAGTATGTGTCCATAAATAACATTTATTATGACATAAATTTTTATCATAATCCTAGCCTATC